AGCTTGGTTCAACGTAGTCAATGTTGTCGTAAGATCATTGATTGTGCTTGGCTTCGAAGCAATGATCAGTTATATATATGCAACTAGCACGACAGTGTGTAAGATATAGAGTACTATAAGCAAGTTTGTTCAAATGATGAGATAGAAACATGAAACCCCGGCCTCACTACATCGTTTTCCATTGCCTCACGTGAAATCAAGCTTTACATAAGTGTGAATAATATGGATAGGCCAACAAGATCTTTACTCATATATGCACTTTCTTTGCGATATGAATGCTCCACAACACAATACACAAGTGTATATGCTAGTGATAGTTTTGAACTGTTATATCGAATAGCTGATGATGATGAAGTTGTACATTCCACGTGCTATTAGGGTTATTAAATGATGTTAGTACTAGTAACTAGCTCTATAGTATGGAACTAGACAGCTAATTGTTTTCTTAGTCCGTGTAGGCTACTAATAAATTGCCTTCTTAATTAATTCCATGGACATTGGACAGTAACCCCATACCCTCATACTTAATTGGACAGAGAATATAATACTTAGGTGTGTTTGTACTTTATATATAATTAAGAAGTAAACTAAAAGAAAATGCAATCCCAAGAACTCAGTGCAAGCTAAGCTGCTCTATCAGATTTTTATAAGTATATTGGTGTAGGGGGTTTAGAAATTAATAATCACTTCTTGAAACCAATGTGTATATATTGTATCTGCATGCTTGCATGCGCATTTAACTCTTTTGTTTTGTTTTCTTCTTACTGCACTCCACATTCCCTCTTGGGTTTCTCATTTTCAAACCTAGTTTATAATAATCGACTATGATGTTAGAGGCTGGTGGTGTAAAACAACATAATTATCTCATTCTCGATATATTCAACTATCAACAACATTCATTTGCTATATGTAGATCTCAAAAATGGTTGTATCCTATATATACCAAACATCACAAGTAAATATTCAAATGCTCTTGTGATTTTGATTTAATAACAAAAATTTCTCTTCAAGATAAGCTAATGTTATGTTTTTAACTCGAACTAAATTGAGGTTTATAACAAGGGAATTTTGTGAACATTGCCCTTTTTGAAACTCAAAAATTTAGAACTGCCATTTTCTCTAAAGTATTTTCTACAATGCCATATAGTTAATAATGATAGAAAATAATTGACAAAATTACCCTCAGCAAAAAAATGAGAGAGCGCTGGATTCAGAAAAACTGTAGCAGCTTTGACCTTTTTTTTGTAGCTGCCCAAGATAGCATTAAATGAGAGTAGTGTATGCTAATACTCAGAAAATAATTGATTAGTTAAATAATTAGATAATAAAAAGAGGCAATCCCCTTAGATGGTGGTCCATTAGTGTTGTCTTCAGCGATGTTGTCTACAAGAAATAAAATAGTCAAAGGACAACTTTGAAAACAGTTTTATATAGTCCATCTACATACAAAAAAAAAAAGAGTAGCGAGATGGACAATACGTTTAGTAGGTTTTCTGACACCAGAAAAGGATAACTATATAAGATTAGTTGTATAAGTGATCAACAACATTTTCCGTCTTCAGCTGCGTAATTCTGGTCCATCAAAAGTTTGTGTTTAAGGACAAGGATTTATGTCCTCCGCAGTGGATCGAAGAGACGATCTGATAAGGACAAAATTATAGTGTTACAATGGACAACAGCATAATGGAACTCAAGTCCACAAGGGAATAAATTTGGAATTGCAACTTCTCTTTACATATGCAACCTCAGCCTCGATGGAAGCCTTAACGACGTCGACATCACCTTTTTTGCGTTCGTCGGCGTCGACAATTATAACTCTGCTTTGGAGGTAGGGTTCTCGGGTTCGGCGAGTGTATATCTTGGCTAGGCGGAAGAAGCTCCACAGTTTTAGTAGAGACAACATTTCTGTCATAGGATCTTGTCCACCAAATTTAGTCCACTGGATCTAGTCCACCAGATCTAGTCCATTGGATCTAGTCCACCAGATCTAGTCCTTTGGATCTAGTCTATCTACACACAAAATGTGTGATCTAAAGTATAAACCTAAATGGATCGTAGATGACGACTTCGTCCACCAGATCTAGTCCATTGGATCTAGTCTATCTACACACAAAATGTGTGATCTAAAGTATAAACCTAAATGGATCGTAGATGACGACTTCCATAGATGCATCACTTGTTTCATCCTCTAATCAAACGCTTATGGTTTTGGAAGATTTGTACGATGGACAAGTTTGGTCTATCGATTCTGGTCTATTAGATCTGGTCCATTGATAGAGAAAAAAATGGACTGGAAAAATGGATCTAGTCTGCTAGCGTAGACCACATACTTAGAATGAAGCATCGTTATTCATCGTTGTAGTCGAACAATTTCATCACAAACCAGATTAAAAACAGATATTAATACCCAAAAAAGAGAGAGTTGCAGAGAAAGAAATTAAAAAAGAAAAAAGTAAAAAGAAGAACTGAAAAGTTTCGTAGGTGTTAGATAGTATAGCTTTATGTGAAAGAAAAAAAAAATAAAAATAAAAACAAAACTGATCTCAATAGTACAAGGGTAGAATAGTCTTTTTAAATTAGAGGTATGACACCCAGGAGAAGAAAAAAGTAAAACTGGCATTAGATATAAAAAATGTTACTGTTCATGGTAGATCCCACAATTTTCTCTTATAACAACATATATAACTGTATTAAAATTGAAAAAAAAAAAAGATTTTTAAAAATAGAATATGGTCCATTCCATATGATGGAGGCATTTATGGATGTTTGTAGAAAAAGTGTGTGCGCCGAATACAGAAGAAGCAGGAAGAGGCAGTGAAAAGGCTCCTCCCTTTCTAGTTCTATCAGACAAAATTACTTTATTTTTATTACTATGTTTTTTCTTAATTTGTTTTTTCCTACAAATTCTATTAAATTTGATAATGTTAATGAAAGAGCCTAATGACGACCATATCCACTGCAGCTGTACAAAACAAGGGCCCCTAATTTGCAAATTACGACCGCTCAAAATCTGCCATGAGATTACAACTCTCCACCAGTCATTAATTATGGTATTTTCTAGATGCTAAACTTTTTTTTAAGATAGATATGATTAAATCGTACAGAAATTTTCGTTACCTAACCTGATTCATACTCTACTACTAACCTATTTATTCCACGTTGATAAACTCTGTTTCTTTTGAAACTGAAACTGACATAGACGAGACTATTACTTTTATCTCATGATGAAAAATGATGGATGTCAAGTAGTATTAATATCTTTAAACTACTCTTAACCTAAAAAAAATTGAAAACCCTAAATTAATATACTCGTACTCCTGATAGCAAGTTTAACCACAAAATTCAATTACAAACAGAATATTCTTGAATGATACTTGGATTATTTAAGAGATGGTTGTAACTTTTTTTTTTTTTTTTTTCTAAACGAGATGGTTGTAACTTGTACGTGGGAGTGTTAAGTACTCACTTTTGAAATTAAAATATTTACAAACTTGGTATCACAGAGACCATATGCATTACACATACATACATATATGGTATTCAATCACTCCATATACACACACACACACAATACATATTGTTGTTAAAAGTTACTTAACAAGATTGCTGTTAAAAAAAATTACAAACCGGCCACAAAAATTGATCTTTATCTATAAGTATGGTCGTTCTTGTGGCCGTTTTGTAGATCATTGTTCATATAAAATATGACAAAACATTAAAAAAGTTCGAAAAAAATACGAGTTTGATTAACGGATATCATTGTGTTTTTTTAGTTATGTTTTTGGGTTATAACTTATAAGGTATAAATAGATAAAATTTGTGTTATAGACATGCATATTAATATAGGCTGGAGTTAATATAGGTTAGACTAGTGAATAGTGATGGAGTTCACCTCTATCTCTATAACATTTACAAGAAGACGTGTATGTATGTAGACATGCAAATTAATATAGGGGTTGATGGGAGGTTGAATTGAATTTGGGTATACGAAGACAAAACGGAAAAGAGTTGCAAAAAGAAAGCAAAAGGCCTAACTTGTAGGCAGGAAGAGTGGTGGAAGTATGATGTAGAAAGAGCAAAGTGACATCTCTTTATTTTGTTTTGTTTTGTTGTTTATTTTTGAGACACAATCTTCCCATTTGTTCACTTCAATGTTCCTTCATCTTGCTTTCGGTCATTTCCTATGCCCCATTCGCTCTCTCAACTTTTCTCCTTACAACCAAATTCTATTTCTTTCCTTTTTTTTCTTCCGCACACTATACATATTGACATTGTAGTTTGGTATTGTATTGGGGGATTAACTTTATAAGGAGTGTCAATGGGCCAAGGCTTGAAGAATTGTTGATTAGTGAGTCTTGAAAAGTGACCAGGGAGGAAAACTTAGTTTAAGGTTCAAGCCTATGTGTGGATGGATCACTCAAGAACTCTGCCTCTGAAGCCCTTTAACAATGTTTGGCCCACTGGCACTGACTATGAAATTAGGATCGAATTTTGTACGGATCATCAATCAAAAACCAAACTACACAGGTTTTGTTTGTATGAATAGCATGCATTAGTCAAATAATTCTTCCAAATGGTTTCATATGATATGTGACTAACTGATTATACAACCTCAAAAGCCTTCCAGAAAAATTTACTTATTACGGGAATTTTATTTTAGGAAGACTGGTTCTTTAGAATAGAAGATCAAAAACATTAAAACAAAACAGACTTCTACAGTCACTCATATTCCAAAATGCCAAAGGTTCCAAAATACCAACAGAAAAGGGGAAGAAGAAAAATGCAAATCCAACTAAAATCAATCGCAGGATTCAGACAGACAAGAAACACGAGCCTCTGCTTTTAACCTAATCGTTATCTCTCTCAAAAAAAAAAAAAGACCATTTCCTTTATGATCTTCATACATCTAAGGCGGAATAAAGCCTAGCGCGCACCAGCAGTGAGTTTTAGTTACTGTCTGAAACCGCCATCGTCTCACTCTAACCCCATATGCTTCAAAGAACCTGTTAACATTCAAAATACAACTAATTTAGTTGCTTCTAATTTAGTTGCTTGTAGCCCGACGATTATTAATGAGAAAGGAAACGCTTAAGCATGGCTAATGATTGAGAGTATTACCCTCCAGAATCTGCATTTTTTGAGAATGTGAAGTGGGGGTGGCCGCTCAAAATTGGCCTCTTGGTGGCCTAGCCTCAGCCTCTGAGACTCTTATTTGTCTTCCATCCAAATCCTAAAGGGAAGTAGTAAAACATGTTTTTTTTTAATCTTACTGTAATTAAGAAGTACTGATCGAGTATTATGAGAAGAGAAACGATGATACTTACTGCACCATTCAGAGAGTTGATGGCCTTTTGAACCTCTTGTGAAGAGCTGAGTGTCACAAACCCAAAACCCTTAGATCTACCACTGTCCCTGTCGTAAATGACCCTGGCTTCAACAACCTTTCCTTGCTCATTAAACATGTTCTCAAGAGCCATGTCATCCACACCCCAGGAGAGGTTGCCAACATAGAGACGGTTTCCTGAACCTGAGCCCGAACCTGACCCTGATCCAGAACCATAACTGGAACGTTGAGACCCGCCGTAACCACCACCTCGTTGAGACCCGTAACCTCCACCTCTTTCAGAACCGTAACCACCACCACGCTCAGAACCGTAGCCACCACCACGCTCAGATCCGTAACCGCCACTTCTTGGTCCTCTGGAGAAGGAATCCTCCCTCTTAGGAGGAGGAGGGCCAGCGTTGACTCTCAAGGGTCTGCCTTCATATTCCTGAAATGGTCATGTCAAAGGAGTTAATAAAAATAACCACAATGTACATACAAGACGGTGCAACTAAAACAAAGGTTCAACAATTATCTCGGCAACTTATATCTCCACATTAGAAACGACAACACCTAATCAAAAACCATGACGTATCCACAAACTATATAGAGGAGAAGCAGCATGGTTTATCTAATCTAAAAACAATTCATAAAATCAGAGTAATGGAACTTTCACATGCGACAACAGAAAGCTAAGACACAAATAACATCATTCCTCACAAGCAAACCAATAGCAAGAAACACGAGGTAAGTTCTTACATAGCCATTGAATTGCTGAGCTGCAGCCTCAACTTCAGCTGCAGTGGACATTGTCACAAATCCGAAACCTCTGCTCCGTCCAGTCACTTTGTCATAGATAACCTACAAAATCAAGCCAATTCATCACAAACTTCATTACTACAGAGTATACACAACAAGATTCACAGTCTTAAACTATATTCTAACTTTGACACTAGTACACAAACAGATTCAAACCCATTTCACAAAGTTCTGAGAATATAATGTAAATCTGAAGAGAGAGAGAGAGAGAACCCTAAATTGGCTTACCTCAACCATCTCAACATTGCCGGCGCTCTCAAAGAGCTGAGCGAGCTGAGCGCTATCAACGTTAAAGGAAAGGTTACCAACAAAGAGCTTAAGGTCAGGAGAGAAAGAGGTACGCTCGACAGGGGCGGAATCGTCACCGTCAGCGAACATGTCATCTTCCTCGACCTCGAAATCAGAGGAGACGGCAACATTCCTGACGAACCTGGAGGAGCATTTCAAGGAGGAGGAAGCGAAGAGGGAGACGAGGTGGTCGGAGTGGAGTTTGAAGGAGAGGGAAGGAGGCAAGACGGAGAGGGAAGCGGGCCTGGAAACGGAGAGAGGAAGGGATTTAGGGTTGAAAGCAGAGAGAGAGGAAGCAGAGGCAGACATGGCTATTCTTATTAGCTCTTTTGAGAAATTTGCTCTCTCTCAGAAGATAAGGTTTAAGAAAGGGTTCTTCGAGAGAGGGTTGAGTTGTGAGAGAGTGGGTAGATAAGAGAAACCTGTGAAGAGCTTTTTGATATTTATCGGCAAAAAATCTTTTATCCCCTTGAAATATCTCCCCCACTTGGAATCTTTCTTTTTTCTTTTACCTCTTTTTCAAATAAAAAAAATGTACTTCTGTAAAAACAAAATTACTTTTGCAGTAAAAAAATTAAAAGCTCTTAAGCCAAAACTGTAATTTTGTTGTGTCACTGATGAACTGAGAAAAAAAAACTATTTCGTAGAAATTTATAATGAAAATGTTGAGGAAATTAAAATTAGAGTAGTCAAATTTATTATTTAATACATTTCGAGGAATTTCAAAATTAGAGTAGCCAAATTAATTTTTTTTTTTTGTTGCTGTTACAATGGGTAGGCTAGTTTTATTTACGAAGTGGTGAATGGTATGTGTTATAAGATCTGGTCCGTCCAATTAAGATGGAGAGTGGAGATTAAAGAGAAGGAATAAAAGAGAGAGCGGGTCTGGTGAGAAGATAAGGCCATTACTAAAAGCCAAAGTAAAAAAATATGCAACTAGAGACTGTTACACTGAGGCTCCAGCAGTATCAGTATGTATGGATCTTCAACTTGTACCAATACATCTAACAAGTAACAACCCCTCTTGAAAATATTTCTCATTTTTTGAGCTGAGATTAGCCTTGCACAAATTCTCAATTCAGACTCCATAGTGTTCCTGCTTGGCTGCTTGGTGCTTAAGTTAAGGAAGATGGGAGTGTGTGTAAATGTTGTATAGCGTTTAGGCCCGATACCAAAAATATGTCATCTTCTCAAAACACTAGCTCTCTCCATTGTTGAGGATTTTAGATTTGGAAATTGAAAGCCCATTACACCAAAAGACAGAGAATAAGCTTGTGCCGGTTAAGCTATAAAATCTCCAGTCCCAGGGTATCGGCTATTTTACCAAAACCAGATTTAAACCATTTAATAACCAAACCAGTCCGGTTCGTTCATAATAGAATGGGGGGTCCCTTTGATAGCCACGTGTCGGCAACGAAGACACAACAAGAGATTGAAACTGGCTAAGCAACATTGTCCGGCGGAGAATCGAAGAAGAAGAAGAACATAACAACAACACTCAGATACTCTTTTGTCCGTACCGAAATCGGGAAAAATGGACATTTCAGTTCAAATCTCCGGCTTAAACTCTCTCAGTACCTGCCGGATCATCCCAAGATTCTCATCCTCTTCTAGATTCCGTTGTTCAAAAAACGAACCTCCACGAAACGGAAACGAGTCCAACGGTGAGATAATTCTCGTAAAACCAATCTCAAAGAATTTTTATATAATTGAATCGGTTTAATTCGGTTCGATTTCTTGATGGTCAGGTGGTGAAAGATCGTCGACGGATTGGGACAAGGCGTGGAAGAGTTTCAAGAAACAGAGCAAGAAGACGTTCTTCTCGCAGTTCAACATGGACAAGTACGTGACTTGGAATCCTCCAAGATCGGACTATCCGGCGTCTGAAGAAATCGATCCCATTAAAAAAGCAGAGAGATCTAATCTAATGCTTTGGACAAGTCCAAGGTTCACACTTATCGGAGCCATCGTCATTGTCTCCTTCCTCCTTCTCTACACCATTCTTGCTCCTGTTAAGTGAACTTCTTTTTTGGTTTTTACTATTTTAATCCTCAACCATTTAGATCAGATTCTGAATGTGTTTTTTTTGTTTTTAATTTTATTTTAACTGTACAACTTCTATGAATAAAAGATCCTAGTTTCAAGTTTCAACAGTTTCTAGAGTCTATAGCCTACAGATATGACATTGAGTGTGAGAGATAGCACTTTACATATGGTTGAGCCTAGTTTTATAAGTTTGCAATACGATTAAGATGGTGCTTAGACTTTTTTGGGGTTCTTGGGCGAAAATAACCCTTAAAACCTCTTATGTCTTTGGGATTATAACTATAACCCTTAAAACCTCTTATGTCTTTGGGATTATAACTAAGGATTGAAGACAATTTTCTATTATCAAGTCATTATAAGATGAGAAGTTGTTAGTTAAGGGATATAAGGGCATCTCCAAAGGGAGGTGCTTAGTGAGTTTCATAAGTTTATTGTGGACAAAAAATAAATCAAAATTGAACAATTAAATAGAGAGGAAACCTAAACTAAGGGGTTTTAGAAGTTGTGTTTAGGGGTACTTAAAGACACATGGCAATTATTCATTGGTAAAAAATATATTCATCTCTTTCTCTTTCTATAATTCTTTCTCCCTCTAACATTTTTATTTAATCAATTTTTATTAATGAAATGTTGTTAAGCATCCTATTAGAGTTTCACAAATGGAGGTGGTCTAACATGCACGAAGATAGAAAATGTTATGACAATAATTAGCGGAAACAGTAATTAATATAGGCCTGTTTTTCGTATAATCTATTCATTCAGGCGGTCGTGCTACTGGTCGCCGCGACTCCGTTTGTGAAACCATAATAACAAATTTGCCTATCTTAGAAGTTAACCAACTCAATTATTTGTTTATAGTCAACGTGAAATCAATTTTTAAAATGCTTGCCATTTACTTCAATCAAAAGTTTTGATCTCAATCCCGAGAGATAAGAAAAATAAAGGGAACAAAATTTGAAAAAACTAAAAATAAAACTAAAAAAATTGCGATAAAATTGCCGGAAGAAGAGGAAGAGAACATTTTTTATTTGATGAATTCAATAATATAAGGAGACAAACGGCAAAAGGAGAGGTTGAGCTGAGGGAGGGAGTGCTGTGTCATGCTGTCGTTGAGTTATTTGTTTTCTTTTCTTTCAACATCTTCGACATGTCATTGCTTTCATCCTCTTTTTATTTTTATTTTTTCTATTTTTCTATCCATTACTTTTTTTTCTACATTCGTTTTTAAGAGAATGGAACACAGTATTTAGAGGGGAAAACATAATTTGAGTATTTAAAATAGATAAAATACATGTTGACCACTATTTTTGGTGATAAAGTAGAGGTAGTAATATTTATTTAGTCAACTGTTAAAACTTTTTATCTTATTACAAAAATGATGATATTTTTATCATAAAAATTATCCTAGTAAGAATGATGATTTTATTATTCAGTAAATACATTTAGATACATTTAGACACACTCTTTGATATCAATATAATTGACTTGATGAAAAAAAAAAAAAGATACATAACGAAATTTGACCCCAAAGAAAAAAAAAACGAACAATAATATGGTTGACTTTACAACATAGAGTTCCACACACAAAGAAAAACCCCACAAATAGAATTGCAATGATATGATTGATTTTCAAACCATATAATTTGGATTCAAATTGTACGGAATTGGTCTAAATAATTACACCAAGTTCTTCATCTTTCTTCTAGTTGTTGTTGTAATATCGGTGAGAATGTGGGATTCATGCTGCTTCTGTTGGTCGGAATGGTCCCAATGCTAATACGTAATTTTGTTAAAAACAGGATTCTAAATTATGAATCACAACAAATCATTTTTAAAGATAAAAAAAGGCATCAAGCAATCAAGGAGGAGACCATTACTCAGAACTCAGAAGTCAGAACCATTTTCGAGAGATCATAATTAGCATATATAACTGAATATTCAATTCTCCCACGATCTTTGAGTATTACAGCTTTCAACGTAACAATTGAGTATTACAGTATTTATATAAATTAACCAAAAAATAAATAAAAATAATAAGTATAATCAAACCTTCCTCTTCTAAAATTGTTTTTTTCTTCTTCGACTTGATAAGCATGTGTTTCATTTTATTAATTTAATCACATACCGATGACCATGAAAGTCGGAGATAATTTCAAAAACTGAGAACCAAAGCTGATGTATTCCCTTACATCATTGAAAAGAAAATTGAAATATGACATTTTGAACCATCCAAAAATACATATATGTATATATATATACCTAAAGTCAAAATGCAATAAGCTTATCTCTCATTTAGAATTTTAAAAATCCAATCTCAGAGAGGCCAAACTCATTAAGCCAACCAATGGCTCACATGGTTGGACCAGACGAGATTGAGTCCTTGAGAGTGGAGCTTGCAGAGATTGGAAGAAGCATCAGATCATCTTTCCGGAGACACACTTCTAGTTTCAGAAGCAGCTCTTCAATCTATGAAGCTGATAATGACGGTGATGTTAATGATGATCATCATGATGCAGAGTATGCTCTGCAATGGGCTAAGATTGAGAGATTACCAACTGCCAAACGCATGAGATCGACTCTCCTCGATGAATCCATCACCGAGAATGGAAAAAGAGTCGTTGATGTCTCAAAGCTTGGAGCCACCGAACGTCATCTGATGATTGAGGGACTTATCAAACACATTGAGAATGATAATCTCAAGTTGCTCAAGAAAATCAGAAGAAGAATAGACAGGTAAACTAAAACAAATTCTCTCGAAATTACTTTACCCATTTTTTATTTCTCAGTTTGTAGAGAGTTTGAGTTTGAAACTTTGTTGTGCAGGGTGGGGATGGAGTTACCGACCATAGAAGTGAGGTACACGAGTTTAAAAGTAGAGGCCGAGTGCGAGATTGTTGAAGGGAAGGCACTTCCAACACTGTGGAACACTGCCAAGCGCATTTTCTCTGTGAGTACTCAAAAAGTTCTGCAAAATCACAAAGTTTGTTATTGTCGTTTCCTTATAAGATGGAATTTCTCCAAAATATTCCACATTGAATTCTAATGTGGTTACACTTCTCCAGGAACTGGTGAAGCTCACTGGTGCAAAAGCACACGAAGCCAATATAAGCATTCTTAATGATGTTAATGGCATTATAAAGCCCGGAAGGTTAGTAGTTGAAGGAGTTACATATCTTACCACTAGTCTTGATCAATGTTTTAAGTGTGTTAATTCTTCTTCTTGTTGCAGGTTAACACTGTTGCTTGGTCCTCCTGGATGCGGTAAAACAACTATGTTAAAGGCCTTGTCTGGAAATTTAGAAAACAATCTAAAGGTTCTCATGATGACAGCAATTTTTTTTCATTTATTTTTGGAGATTTATTTTTGGTGCAGAGATGTGAACTATGTACCTTTTCCTTTTTCCTTCCACAGTGTTCAGGTGAAATCTCTTACAATGGACACAGACTAGACGAGTTCGTTCCTCAGAAAACCTCGGCATATATAAGTCAATATGACCTGCATATTGCGGAGATGACGGTGAGGGAGACTGTTGACTTCTCAGCTCGTTGTCAGGGCGTTGGTAGCCGAACAGGTAGATTTTATCAACCAATCAATGTCCCCTCGAGTGCAATGAAATGTATGTATTGTTAATTTTTCTTTTCCCTGGGGAAACAGATATTATGATGGAAGTCAGTAAACGAGAAAAGGAAAAAGGAATCATTCCTGACACAGAAGTGGATGCTTACATGAAAGTACATTCCTCAAACATTCTCTGACCCTGAAGCTTATTCTGAATTTAACCTTTAAACTCAGCTGGTTGATTAGAGACTTTTTTTTTCGTATAGGCAATTTCTGTTGAAGGACTCAAAAGAAGTCTGCAAACAGATTACATCTTGAAGGTAGTCTCTTTTATAGCCTGGCTGATAATCTGGCCCTTTTTGTTTGGTTCTTAGTCTTCTGTTGAATTTGCAGATTCTCGGACTAGACATTTGTGCAGAAACACTGATTGGAGATGTGATGAGGAGAGGTATATCAGGAGGCCAAAAGAAGCGTCTTACGACAGGTTAGTTCATGGCACGAATCCTCAAAAGTATCATAATTTTCTGACATGTTCTTTTCTAAAGCAGTACCTGAATTTCTGAATCTTTGTAGCCGAGATGATTGTTGGCCCGACAAAGGCTCTGTTTATGGATGAAATAACAAATGGCTTAGACAGTTCCACAGCTTTTCAGATTGTCAAATCTCTTCAGCAATTTGCTCACATATCAAGTGCTACTGTGCTTGTTTCGCTTCTTCAACCGGCCCCAGAATCTTTCGATCTCTTTGATGACGTTATGCTGATGGCCAAAGGAAGAATTGTGTATCATGGTCCACGCGGCGAAGTCCTGAAATTCTTTGAGGATTGTGGATTCCAATGCCCTGAAAGGAAAGGTGTTGCAGACTTTCTCCAGGAGGTAAGAGAAAACCCATCCTTAAAACGAAACTTTTGTGCTTCTGAAGTCATGAGTTGTTGATCATGAAACTTTCTACCTTGAAGGTTATATCCAAAAAAGACCAAGCACAATACTGGCGGCACGAGGATTTACCTTATAGTTTTGTCTCGGTGGAAATGTTGTCAAAGAAGTTCAAGGACTTGAGTATTGGAAAAAAGATTGAGGAAACACTTTCTAAGCCGTATGATAGATCCAAAAGCCATAAGGATGCCTTATCCTTCAGTGTGTATTCACTTCCAAACTGGGAGTTGTTCATCGCATGCATATCAAGAGAGTATCTTCTCATGAAGAGAAACTATTTCGTCTATATTTTCAAGACATCTCAGGTACATTTCGAAGTTTCCAATCCACAGTATCTCTTCTTGTCTTCTTTATATGTTAAACGTATTCCTGAGCTTTCTAGCTTTTATGTGCGCAGCTTGTTATGGCTGCATTCATCACTATGACTGTGTATATCCGAACACGGATGGGTATTGATATCATTCATGGGAATTCTTACATGAGTGCCCTCTTTTTTGCCCTCGTTATACTTCTTGTTGACGGATTCCCTGAGTTGTCTATGACGGCTCAACGCCTAGCCGTGTTTTACAAGCAGAAGCAGTTGTGTTTCTATCCTGCATGGGCGTATGCAATCCCTGCAACAGTGCTAAAGGTCCCTCTCTCGTTCTTCGAATCTTTAGTTTGGACCGGCCTCACATACTATGTCATTGGATACACCCCTGAAGCCTCCAGGTAAGCTTTTTTCCCTGTTGCTTGGCACTTAAACCCTATAAAAAGGTACACATTCAAGTCTGGAAATGCTCAGAAAATTGTAAAATGACGAAGTTCAATGTTCCAGGTTCTTCAAGCAGTTCATTCTACTGTTTGCTGTTCACTTCACCTCGATATCCATGTTTCGGTGTCTAGCTGCAATCTTCCAGACAGTAGTTGCTTCAATCACAGCTGGCAGTTTTGGTATATTATTCACATTTGTCTTTGCTGGTTTTGTCATTCCACCAAGTAAGATTTTGCCCCAATCCATTACTAAATATCGCCTCAAAAGTTATCCAGCATAACTCTAAGGTTATGTCTTCTCTGCAGCATCAATGCCAGCATGGCTCAAGTGGGGTTTCTGGGCAAATCCTTTGAGTTACGGTGAGATTGGGCTATCGGTAAACGAGTTCCTTGCCCCCAGGTGGAATCAGGTTATCTTCACTTAGCCTGTTACCTTCTTTTTCTCTCTTAATCACCCAAGCTTCTTCTTTATTGTTTCTGGTATAGTCTTCAATATTAACCAGTATTTTTCTGGTTAAATATGTAGATGCAACCCAATAATGTTACCTTAGGGCGAACCATACTCCAAACCCGTGGAATGGACTACGATGGTTACATGTACTGGGTATCATTATGTGCCTTGTTGGGATTCACTGTGCTCTTTAACATCATTTTCACCCTGGCACTGACTTTCTTGAAATGTAAGTTCATCTTCTACTAGGTAAATCTATGTGCTTTCAAAACACAGGCGGCCACATACTAAAACGTTCTTTCCCAAATGACAGCACCCACATCATCTAAAGCTATGATTTCGCAAGAAAAACTCTTTGAGCTGCAAGGAAAAGAAGCTTCAACAGGCGACACTTCAGTCAAGAACAAGACTACAGGTTCCCCTGTAAACACAGAAGAAGGTGACAACTTTGTTTTCTCTCTTCCCACTTCTCTAATTCTCCATTTTTTCCTCCCACTAACACTTCTTTTTTTACCACAGGCAAGATGGTCTTACCTTTCAAGCCCCTCACAGTAACATTTCAAGATTTGAACTATTTCGTTGACATGCCCGTGGTAAAACTATCATAACTCAAAACTATAAACCATATCACAAGTTTTTCTCAATGGATCTCTCACTTATCTTTGATGTTTGCAATGATGATGATGATGATCTCAGGAGATGAGAGACCAAGGATATGACCAGAAGAAACTACAACTTCTATCAAATATCACCGGAGCTTTCCGCCCTGGAATCCTAACGGCTTTGATGGGAGTGAGTGGAGCCGGAAAAACCACACTCCTCGATGTTCTAGCCGGAAGAAAAACAAGTGGATACATCGAAGGAGACATCAGAATCAGTGGTTTCCCTAAAGTTCAGGAAACGTTCGCTAGAGTCTCAGGCTACTGCGAACAAACAGATATCCACTCACCAAACATCACCGTCGGTGAATCTGTGATTTACTCAGCTTGGCTTCGTCTTGCTCCTGAGATCGATTCCGCAACCAAAACCGTTAGCCTCTTCCTCTTGTTCTCTCTCTTCTATCAAAATCGACTAAAAAATCAAAAAAGTTAAGTAACGAAATCGTTGAAATCTGAATGCAGCAATTCGTGAAACAAGTGCTCGAGACGATCGAATTAGATGAAATCAAAGACGCATTGGTGGGAGTCGCCGGAGTGAGCGGGTTGTCGACGGAGCAGAGGAAGAGACTGACGATTGCGGTGGAGTTGGTGGCGAATCCGTCGATCATCTTCATGGACGAGCCCACGACGGGGCTAGACGCAAGAGCAGCCGCCATTGTTATGAGAGCTGTGAAGAACGTCGCTGATACTGGACGAACCATCGTCTGTACTATTCATCAGCCTAGTATCGACATTTTCGAAGCTTTCGACGAGGTAATTTGCAATATCAACTCCAAAATTTAATTTTTTTACAGTTTGACCCAGAAGCTTCTTAACTTTATCTAACCAGGTCAAAAATTAACACTTTAAACTTGAATTTTTTTAGTTGGTGCTTCTTAAAAGAGGTGGTCGCATGATCTACACAGGACCATTAGGCCTACATTCATGTCACATTATCGAGTATTTTGAGGTAAGTTTTGCCAAATAGTTTTCTTTTAATCCATGACCAAAAAAGAGAGTAAAAAAAAACTTACATTTTTGTTGTTTGTGCTTATTATATAAACAGAGTGTTCCTGAAATTCCTAAAATAAGAGACAACCACAATCCAGCAACATGGATGCTTGATGTTAGTTCACAATCTGTAGAAGTTGAACTTGGCGTCGATTTCGCAAATATCTACCATGAGTCTGCTCTTTACAAGTGAGTAAATCTTCAAATACTATTATATTATGATGCATAAGTGTTATTATTGTTCTTTTTAAAAAGTGGTATCTAATGAAACATGTGTGATTGTTAATTATAGGAGAAACTCAGAGCTTGTTAAACAGTTAAGCCAACCAGATGCAGAATCAAGTGATATACAGTTTAAGAGAACTTTTGCACAAAGTTGGTGGGGGCAATTCAAATCTATTCTATGGAAAATGAGTTTGTCATATTGGAGAAGCCCTTCTTATAACCTTATGCGTATGATTCACACTTTGATCTCTTCTTTGATCTTTGGCGCACTCTTCTGGAAACAAGGCCAAAAAATGTAAGTGGACAGTGAGATTCAAATGACACATATCTTTATATTACCCTTTAATTAGGACTGTGTGAGAGTGTTAACATTGTGAAATGTGTGTTTCAACGTTTGTAGAGATACTCAACAGAGTTTGTTCACCGTATTTGGAGCCATCTACGGTTTGGTACTCTTCTTAGGGATAAACAACTGTTCATCAGCTCTTCAGTATTTTGAAACGGAGAGAAATGTAATGTATCGAGAAAGATTCGCAGGGATGTACTCAGCGACAGCTTACGCGTTGAGTCAAGTGGTGACAGAGATACCTTATATATTCATACAAGCTGCGGAGTTTGTGATCATAACATATCCAATGATCGGTTTCTATCCTTCGACCTACAAAGTCTTTTGGTCACTCTACTCTATGTTTTGCTCACTTCTCACTTTCAACTACCTTGCCATGTTCCTCGTATCCATCACGCCAAACTTCATGGTTGCCGCGATTCTTCAGTCGCTTTTCTATGTTAATTTCAACCTCTTCTCCGGGTTTTTGATCCCCCAAACGGTAAGAAATCGATTGATCGATCCAACCTCTAGTTTTTTCCTTGCACAATAATGTTTGTTTTGTAATGTGTTTGGAAAAATTGCAGCAAGTTCCAGGGTGGTGGATTTGGTTATATTATCTAACACCAACGTCATGGACACTCAACGGGTTCATCTCGTCTCAGTACGGAGATATTCATGACGAGATCAATGTCTTTGGAGAAACAACGACTGTTGCAGCATTCTTGAAAGACTATTTTGGATTTCACCATGAACGTTTGGCGATTACGGCGGTTGTTCAAATCGCTTTTCCAATTGCGTTTGCGTCTATGTTTGCCTTCTTCGTGGGCAAACTCAACTTCCAACGACGATGATCATGCTACTAATTAGTCATCTTTTTTAGAATAAACAAATAATGCCTTTTTTTGTGTGTGAACATAAACGTATAATTTTTGTTTTTGTTTTGTTATGTATTGATGTATATTGTATATGATATTAATGAAATTAAAACAAAACATTTTCTAGGCATTGGTGGTTGATGGCATCATACGGTTAGAAATACAGTTTTGCTTAGATTTTGGTCATACCTAGTTGATGCAAAGTCAAATAAGCAAAATCTCAAAATTTAGGTATTGCATCTCAAGAATAGTAAGAAATACTGATTAATATAACTAAATTAACTAAAGATTGATATATATAAACCAATTTTTACAAATAAAAACTATAAGTTATGCATATAAAGGAATAATTCATAAATTATTTTTTCTCTGTAAACCTAAACTCTATTTCTGTTTACCAAATCTATAGTTTTTTTTTTCATTTTGTAAAAAAGGTAAAAAAAAAAATTACCCATAAGTTTTACAAAATCTATAGGTTTTCTTTGTATATATTATATAATATTTTTTCTTTTCTTTTTGTTCAACGTTCTTTGTACTATATAGTAAAATTTATTTTGATATCCTAATTTTAATAGAAATGAGAAAACCAAAGCGGTCAACACAAGAGAAGGGTCGGTTTGTTCCTTTCTTCCCGGTACGCTTTTCTCCAACGCCATAGCCAAGACTCAAACGAGATTCTGATTCAACAGTGTTTGCTTGATCTGCATCTTCTATCCCACTAAACCTTCTCCTCTCTCGATCAAACGCACCTGCTTTACATTAGATCGGATTTGATCGAGCGATTTCGATTAGGAATCGCGATGTCAATCCGAATTCCACCAGCTTGTTTGGATTTTCGCGGTTTCATACTCTGTTTCATCTTCTTCAGCTCGTTCCCTGGTAATAATTTAGCTTCCGTTTCAAAATTCAAGTACACAAATTCGGGGCAAGGGGATTCGGTGTAATTAGCTTCTTTTTTTTTTTTTGATTGGTACAGGAACAATTCTAACACAACAAGTTACATTAGATTCGATTCAGATTTTCAAAACTCACGGTTGGTTCTCGAGTAAGCCTACAGTCTATTTCCAATGCAAAGGAGAGAACAAGACGGTGTTGCCTGATGTGAAGAGCACTAATGTGTCTTATTCTTTCAAAGGCGAAGAATCTTGGCAGGTTTGTCCCTTCTTCTCCAAATGTAGATCAATCGTGAGGTTGAGCTGATTTCTTGCTGATTATGTTGTTGGGATTTCCTAGTTCTAGCAACAATTCCGATTTATTTTTGGTTTGTTTGATTTGGAAACAAAAACAAAAGAGTTGTCTTTACCCTAGTTCTTAGCTATTGACTGGTTTCTTTGGGATTTGCTGTGGTAGAGACATAGTTTTGATTGCTGAGTCTGCTTCAGTATTAGGATCTCAGTATTAGATCGGAATGCTAGGTAGAAGGGACCTGTCTTCATCTGTGAAATCTAGTTAACAGGCAAACAAATAGGTTGTCTTATGTTGATGGTTATTATTATCATTACTGTCTTTTGAGAACTATGTTCTATGTTTTTTGTCTCGGTTTTTTCAGCCCCTAACCGAGCTTAAAGGAACAAAATGCAAGAGATGCGGAATCTACGAGGATGACACCCTTACGTATGATACCTTTGACGAATGGGAGCTTTGTCCTTCTGATTTCACAGCAGAGGGTAGCTACAAGCGCATCAAAGAGAAAGAATTTAATGCTACTTTCCTCTGTCATGGATGCTCACAAGTTGGAGCTGGTGAGTTCCCATCCAAACCAACATATCTTGAGCTTTAGGGTCATTCATTACCTCCAACTATAAATAAGGATCTCTCACATGTGTCTCTGTTGACTGTAGCTTCAGTTTGATTCTGTTCTCTCTGATGAGGAATATCATATGCATGCCTTTCCTTTTTGCAGGTTCGAATAAAGAATCGGGCAATGACAAGGAAAAGGAAAAGGGCGGAATGCACCCTGCAATAGTGGCACTGATTGTAGTAATCGTGTTAGGTGCAGTTGTGATGGGACTCTTGGTAGGTTATCAGTATTGGAGGAAGAAGAAACGGCAACAAGAGCAGGCCCGGTTTCTCAAGCTGTTTGAAGATGGTGATGAGATTGAGGACGAACTTGGCCTTGAAAATACCCTATGAAGCTCATGTCACCTCTGTGTACATACATACAGGATTTCTTGATCAACCTCACAACAGTTTTTTAGTTTTTGGTAAAGATATAGAGGAGAAAAGGATACAATGTATGCTCCTAGCTTTTGTTCATCCAACGAGATAAGTCAATGATGTTATTTCTTGTTATCAATGTTTGGCAATTGAATCTTCTGCTTCATCTAAAGACAAAGTTCAACTACCAGTCTACCATCGTTAAATATGTTTTCACAAAATAATTTGCAAATATAATCAATGTAGCAAAATAAATGACTCAGAGAGAACTTTATAAATTTTTGTTTATTACCAAACAAATTTATGAAACGTAACATAGCAGAGTTGGAGAGTTGTCTAAAAGCAAACTAAATGAGTATCAAAGAAAGCAGATCCAAGTCACACAACAAAAAGGAATGTATCAAGCAGAAAGAAAGGGAAAGGAAACAACATCCATCGGTACACAATGCTACATTTGGCTTTAACCTGTGAGCCATCAAGGTGACTCACTGCCTTTAGGAGAAGCGCGGTTAAGCTCAGCCTCATCATCAATAGGACTCCTGTCTTGACCAAGTACAACAGGACTTTCATCACCTCCAACAACGGGACTCACAGAGCTCCTGCCGTTACCATTCTCTTTTGGGCTACCATCATAGTCTGATCCACGCTTCGGGCTCGCATCTTTCACTCTTCTGTCAGGACTCATGCTTTGGTCCCTGCCTTTGGGAGATACAGATCGCTCCATTGCCTTGGGACTGTGTGATCGGTCCTCCACACTTCTCTCTCTTCTCACTGGAGATCGCGATCGACTGATGAAAAGAGAAGTAAAGAGTCAAACAAATGGCATAAGCCAAAAAAGTTAGTGTATAATTAAGAATTGCCAACATGAGAACAACTAGCATATACTTGAAGATTAACACAATCCCAAAAAAAGCTCAGACCCACAAAAAAATCGCATTCTAGGCAAGATTTTGGCTTCTCTTTTGTATTCAATATTTGAATTTATGAAACTTTTTTCCAGAAGTCCAAATTTGCCACCAACCTGTAACTGCGGCCTCGACTGTAACTACGGCTACGACTTGGGCTCCTTCGGCGGCGAGGGGAACGGGATTTTACTGGTGACCTGGAGTAGCTTCCACCCTGCCTGGAGTATTATAATCCAAAAGAGATATGAGAAGAAGCTTAAAGGATAGATGGAACAGTGCAAAAACAAGGATTCAAAGATTTAGGTACCTGGCCTTCTTTGGACTAGGACTGTTTTTGCAGTTTCTCTCAATGTGTCCTCTTTCTCCACAGCGGTAGCATTTATTCTTCCAGTCTCCTGCTGTGCAGTCACGGGCCCAATGACCATCAACACCACAATTAAAACAGCGACCAGAACCAGGAGGTGGGCCTCTGCTACCATTATCCCGAGAACCACGAGGCGCCTATCATAATTTAAAGAGGTTGACAAGACATCATCAATTATTCATCCAAATCATTAAACCAATGGAAGCATCATTAGTATAGAGACACAATTAACTAACCCCTCTGGATGCCTCCACAGTGATGCGACTTCCATCGAAGTCACGTCCATCCAAGTAATATCTTGCGTCATCAGCATCACGAGGATCACTAAATTCCTGTTCTCAAAATATGAGGGCCAATGATAGATGCATAGTATATAAATATTTGTGTGCAAATCTAACTGGAGAAATTAAACCCTTAACTAAAAAGAAATAGATATTATAAAACTTACAACAAAGGCATAATCGCGCTTCATATCCACATCTCGTACTCTGCGGAAATTGTTGCCAGAAAATCAAGCCCATCATTACTTAAGGTACTCCCAAACACCATTTTTGAGATTTGAGGCCAAATCCATTAAAAACATGCAAAAAATCAACAAACAAAATCGCCGATGCACCCTCTATACACCAGACGAGAATTTCCACCAATTACACCAAGTCCACCCATTCATCAAACATCTCCAGGTTAGGCAAACACCATAAACCTTCAACAAGATCATTCAAGTTAAAGAAAAAAAAGAACACTAAACCTAGAACAAGAATTTCCCCGCATGGATGAAAGAACCAATGCAAACTTATAAATGGCAAAAGAAGTGTATTAGCATCCCCTTTAATTCTAAACCCCTGCAATATCAATGCGTAATCATTCCAAATTCACACCAAAGAACAATAAACAGCAAAATAAAGAAAAATTCAAACACTTTTGTCCCCAAGACACAGAAATCAAAATAGGACAATCAATTCAAGACGATCAAATAAAGATTCTTTACCTTCCGTATCTGCTAAAAAGACGTTCAAGATCCCTGGTACGAGTTCTAGATGATAAGCGGCCAACATAGAGGCGAGTGTTTCCATAGCGGTCATCATAGCGAGGCATTGTCAAAGCTGCAAAAAATGTCAGCAGCGCAATCAATCAGGCGCATCTACATATCAACAAAAACTCACAAGAAGAATCACAGCACTAACTCAGACCTATTTGAACAAGCCCATGAGAAAAAAATAAAAATTCGTGAAGAAATAATATGAATCCCTAATCAGATAGGCAGAAGAAACCTAAAGAGAAGGAAGAAGCACGAAACCAATTGGAATCTCAATCTACAGAGCGAATCACAATAAATCGAAACCGAACATATCCAATTACATAGATCTTTCATACCTGGAGACGGAGACGGAGACGAAGAAGGAGAGTGCGAATCGAAGTAACCCTAATAATTTCGAAACGAAGGAAGTGAACCGCGGATACTGCGACGATAAGTATTCAACCCCCTTATCTTTATAACTTGGAAACCGACGAGATTCAACGGTGAAGATTCGTTTGGAGTTTTTACAGTCAACGGTCTGGATTTAACAGCGAGATAAACGACGATGTTTCCGATATAGAAACTGTACACGTCATTAAGATGTTTCCTATATTTTACTGGGCCTACTATTACAATTCTCAAGCCCATTTATGCAATTTTGGCTAATGCAATTTCATACAACAGTTTCAGAATATAAACAATTTGGAAACTGCATACTGCTCCGAATCTCAAGCATTTTCTTTGGCGTTTGTTATCGGGGGCTCTTCCTACGGGTGCTACAATGAAAGCTAGGCATATAAATCAGTTTTTTGTTTGTCGTCGTTGTTGTTCTACAGATGAGTCGATTGAGCACTTGTTTTTTGGTTGTACGTATGCGCAAGCTGTTTGGAGGGGATCGGGTATTCCTGTGAATCGTATTTTGGATCCTACTATATCTGTGGAAGATAAAATTCAGATTTTCTTCACCATGAATGCAGATCAGAACCATAGACATTTTCCAATCTGGATTTTATGGAGGTTATGGAAGTGTAGGAATATGCTTCTCTACCAATGTAAATTCTTTGATTGGAATTATTGTTTACGACAGGCAAAGCGTGATGCTATTGAATGGTATGATGTTCTTATTAAAGTTGATTCTTTACATATGCATCCAAGACAGCATGACAGGTTATTGAATACTCATTCAAAATGGCATCGTCCGGATCAGGGTTGGATTAAGTGCAATTACGATGGATCTTATATCAATGCAACAGTTAAGGCTAAGGCAGGTTGGATTTTTCGTACTACTACGGGTGTTTATGATGGCTCTGGCCATGGTATTGGTTTGTGTACTAGCTCTGCTCTTGAGAGTGAACTTCAGGCTGTTTGTTTGGCTCTGCAACATGCTTCGATCAAAGGTTAGAAGAATATTCATTTGGAGGGTGATAATAAAGAGGTGGTGTCTATTCTTCAAGGTCTTTCTCAGAATTTTGCTGTGCTAAACTGGATTCGTGAAGTGAAGAATTGGAGTCGACATTTTGATAATATCAAATACAGTTGGATTTCTAGAAGAGGAAATTCCTGTGCTGATATTTTAGCTAAAGCTCCCTTACCAAATGATCTTTCTGTTTATTACTATTCTTATGTTCCTCATTTTTTGATTCAGCCTTTGTACAATGATAACATTTGAATTTCAATAAAGCTTTATGTGTTAAAAAAAAAAAAAAACAATTTGGTGACAACAGAGTATATATAACTACTTTAACCAAATTTTCAGAGGCTGCTTGTGCCCGCCAAAATTCAAGCAATAGGTCCATCCTCTACCTTCTTCGTACCCGTTGCCATGATCCTCCTCCTTTCCCGTACGGTAATGGCGAAACCAAGAAATATAATTAGAGACTTTTAAAGCATAATTAAAGAAGAAGGGAAGAGGAAGAGGAAGAGGAAGAGGAAGAACAACATTCGATGATATCTAAGATGTCTGGTGATACCTCATTCCATGTTCTGTTAGGACGAGACAAAGAGGGTCACTGAGAAAGAGATAAGCCAGAAAGCCAAATGGAGAAAGTGAGAGAAACTAGTAGTATTCTGTTTATGAATTGAACTCTTTTTTTTTTCCGTCGACAGTATGAATTGAACTCTATGGAATCAAATTTGTTTTATTTATCTTTGTGAAGGAAACAGCGTATTTAATGTGATCCGAACCATAAATATTTTATAGAAAAGAAGATGAGAGAAATTGACATGGAATTTTCTCACATCGAAGATTAATTGATTGATTCTGTTTTCAGAGAAAAAGGGTTTTCTGGATAAAAATATTATTCAAGGATATATAAGTCAATGTTGGTTAAAAACAAGGTCATCAACAGAACAGAGCTTTATAGTGAAATGAATCATCAGGCACAACAAGAGAAGCAAAACATCTATTACAGGCTTTCCTGAAGCAACAGAGCTCCTGCAACAAAACATACTGTGCTTAGTTAAGCTTAATAACATTTGAGTTTCAATATATATATCCCATATAAGTATCAAAGAAACCGTAAACCTGAGTTGTGACCTACCTTCTGGATACTTTTTCGCCAAAAAATATCAAATCAAAGCACATTGCACTTGAGGGAGTCTTTACAAGCCCAAAGTAAATTTCATGAATTGAACCAAACCATGATGAACACTTCTTAGTAACTCCTTCCCCAATACGTCCATTTCTTCGCAGGCTTTCCTGAAGCAAAGCAGAGAGTGCCTGCATCGAAAACATTGAAACTTCGTAACCATTTCTCAATATAGATTAAAATTACAGGGTCTATGTCACTGACCTTCAGGGAGTTCTGGCTGATCAAATGGAGAACAAAGAGTTTTAGCTGCTCCAGTTTCCCCTTTCGTACGTGCCTTAACTTCTCTCTCCACTTCCTGCAACAAAATTAATTTGTAAGGGGATAACAATTGCACTCTCTCACTTTTTTATTCCAAAAGCTGGAATAACAGTTTTGTTGTAACGTACCTCTTCATCGCACCAGGGAGCTAAGATGAGTTTCTTTTCGTTAAGAGCTTTGATAAACTCATCCCAAGTCTTAATCTCTTGAACACATGCCTCCCTCTTTTGCTTTGCTACTTCATACATGTTTTGCTGGATCTTCGCAAGCAGTTCCTTAACATGTTCGACTAAGTTACCTCTTGGTATATCTGCCTTAACTCCGTTGTCACGTCTCACAGTTCTAACCTATCGTGATGCAAGCCAGAGATAAAATGAATTCCGTTTAGCTAAATTAAAAGTTTACATATTCAAACCAAACATCACTGTCTCCTCAGCTAACCAAACATCATTACTAGTTCTGAACTATGGGGATGCGAACCAGATACTTCACTACTGTATGTCAAAAAAATAGAGGAGATGTTCCACCGACTGACCTGATCATTTTCTAGATCTCTGGGTCCAATCTCAATTCTCAAAGGAACACCCTTCATTTCCCAGTTTGAATACTTCCATCCAGGAGAGTAGTTGTCCCTTAAATCTTCCTCAGCACGAATCCCGGCTTCACACAAGGCAGATACAATAGCAGTACAAGCATCAAAAATTCCTTGGGTATTAGCATCTTTGTAGGGCACCGGAATCACAATAACTTGCACAGATGCAACTTTAGGAGGGAGTATCAGGCCTTTGTCATCTCCATGAGTCATAATCATCACTCCAATCTATACAAGGTTATTAATTAAAAATGTAACAGTTATAGAGCGGATGAGAAAAGACTATCTAAGTAATTCAAGTATTTACCGTCCTAGTACTGTAGGCCCATGAATTCTGCCACACCATTGCTGTCTCTCCTTTCTCATTCTCATAGTTGATCTCAAACATCTTTGCAAAGTTTTGACCCAAACAGTGAGAGGTTGCACCTTGTACACCACGACCGGTGTTGGGAATGAAAGCCTATAAAATCGAAGGTTTAATTATTCATAACGAGTAAATCCGCAAGAAAAAAAAGATTATGTCTCTGAAACAAAACAGAAAGATTACATACCTCTACACTTGTCGTGTACAGTCCCCCAGCAAACTTCTCATTTTCACTCTTCATACCTTTAACAACTGGGACTGCAAGATACTCTTCATATATACGACGGTAAAGCTCTAAAATTTGAAGGACCTAAGACAATAGAAACAGTATGATGAAATGATTTCTCCTAAAATGTTGTTGAACTGCTTAATATAACCCTTGTTTGCAGGAAAAAAAAAAGGGACAGATTGGAACACATGCAAAAGTTTGTAAACCAACCTCTTCATCTGCTTCTTCCTTTGTGGCGAATGCAGTGTGTCCTTCCTGCCAAAGGAACTCACGACTCCTGCAATTAAATAGGTTAGGAAATAAGCTATGGAAAGAAAACCTCTATGTCGAAGATTTAAATCCTCACCAAGCCGAATATTTACAACAAAATCAATGACTAGCTCAAAAAGAAAAGTACTAACATGATGAACAGAAAAAGTAGAAAGGAGTATATGAATTACATACCGGATAAATGGGGTTGGGTTGCTGAACTCCCATCTAACAACATTGCACCATTGGTTCAGCTTCAAAGGCAAGTCACGGTGCCCCCTTATCCACTTGCTGTAATAAGGATACATCACTGTCTCACTAGTTGGACGAATAGCGATTGGGACTTCCAAGTCAGATTTACCAGACTTTGTAACCCAAGCAACCTAACCAAACATTCAAGTCTGTCAAAAGAAGGCCTCTTTGTCACAAGGACAAACCTCTACGATATAAGAGATACACACCTCTGGGGCGAATCCCTCAATGTGGTCCTTCTCCTTCTCTAAGACACCAGGAGATACAAAAAGAGGGAAATAGCAATTCTTGACCTTCATTTTCTTGATTTGCGCATCAAAGAAAGTCTAGAAATGGAGCATGGAAAAATCAGTGAAAATGAAATGATAAAACTTCTTTAATTCCCACTCTTGAATCAACTTCATATCAATATGATTGACTTAAAATACAAAAAAAGAAAGGATGATACTCACTTGCATAATTTCCCAAATCGCCATTGACCATGGCCTAAGAATATAACATCCAGAGATATCATAGTATTCAATCATCTCGTGTTTACAAACCTGGACAAACATAAAGAAAAGCAGATGTCATATTAACCAGTTTGGGACAGAAAAATAATGTGAAAACAATCATCTTGAGCATATAAACAAACCTCGGAATACCATTCCCCAAAGTTCTCATCTTTCTTAACGCTAAGTCCAAGACCAGTTTCCTTCTTGACGTCCTTCTTCTTCTTCCCACCGGGAGCAGCCGTTGCACCCTTTTCTTTGACAACTTTTTCTTTTACAACCTTTTCTTTTTTTTCACTTGGACCAGCCATTTCAACCTTCTTCTTCTGAATGCATTAACAACAAAAGCGAAATACATTTATAATCAAAGTAATGAAATCAAGGTTTATCACCACCAAGTTAATGAAATGGACTAGTAAATGGCAGGC